CGTTAGGTTTTCCCCGGACCCCCTTAGTCTGCTGGTATCCATCGGGTGGTGTGAGTAAAGTTTCTAACCAAAGAACGTAGCACCATGACTCAATTAGCGCTTCAACCTAGACCTCTTGACTTGTAGTCAATCGCGCATACCACAAGCTTACTGTTTGTTCATCTCATCTTTGTTTAACTGGTATCACGAACCGGTGAAATCCAACCACTGACGGTTGCTGTACTGTGCATGTGGGTTATTGAATCAGTGAAGTTATCAGCAGTTTGATTTATCACTGCCAGAAAATACAATCAAAACTAAGATCATTCTCGTGGTGAAATTTCATGGCTCCTTTTAAGCAGACTTTCTTAAACAATTGAAATGGCACCAAATTGAATACAGGTTGCGTTTCAATCGAAAAAAAGTTCTGAAAGGTTTTATAATTATTTTCAACAGGTATGTTTGATGAGATTACAGGTCTTAAAGTGCTAATTGACGGGTGCAAAAACGACTTCTTCACATTTATGCACATGGTTTTTAAGACCTTTAAAAATCCTGCATAAATTAACAAGAATAAAGCTACTTTTTTTGAAAGTCTTTTAAATGCAAAAATATAGCCGGTAGTATCTTTTAAAGAAGCGTGCTCTTAATTCCCTACCGCCTAGTCAATCGGTGTGATGGTGAAAGACTGGCAACGAATGAGTAAAAAAAGTCAATACAAAACTTGATCAAATAATTCGCTAGAGTGTACTAAAGATGCCAACAGGCAAGTGTTTAAAGCAAGTTTATACACTGGTCGATTCGTTGTTAAATTGAACGGTAAACTGAGAGGTTTCACTGCTCAATGTTACAACGAATTTTCTGTAAGCTAAGATGCTTGTAAGTTACCAGAATATAGACTTTGCGGATTTTGTTAACAGATAGGTTAAAATAAAAGATATAGCAGGCTCATCACTTACCTTCACTCAAAACAGAGGGCATGTTAAATCAGATAAGCATCAATCCTGGATATTATTATAAAGCTATTCGTTTGATGATGTTTGAAGATGGAAGTACTGACCCCTGCATTAAGAATTGTCACGCTCGGCTCACAGAAAACCCAACATGCTCTGGGAGAATACAAACTGCTGGTATTGTGGCATGTGCACTTGGAATTTGACTGGTAGTTTATTGGTTTTAAAAAAATGAAGGCTTTATACAACTCTAAAATCGAATCATAAACTGACTGAGACAAGGAGCAACACCCACTAACAAGCCTTTTGCATCTTTACTACCGCAGTTTTAAACGGCCCTTGAGATGAGAGGATACTAATTTAAGACGGACAATTGAAATGCCTGGAAAGTGAATTTCATAAAGTTCAGACTGGTGATGTAAAGAAATATATTTATAAGAACAGAAACTAGCTGCAGTTACATGAAATTCTGCTACTTTTGGCGAATGAACACTTCTAAAAGATTACAAGAGTTTGCAACCAAACAAAACCGTTCAATTAGTTCTTATTTGACGTTCGCTAATACTAAAGAGTAGAGGGCTTAGCCGCCCCCCCTCCCAATTTTCGCTTGTACGAGCTGCAGCCCTCCCCTGCCCTTGCTGCTCTGCCGCCTCTTACAAGATTAGTTTTTCAACACGTCTTTAATAATTTGTAATCCGTGTTCATCTTTTCCCTCCTTAACAGTCGTCCTTCGTTTTTCCTATATTATTTCCACTTTGATGTTTGTCTACCGTAACAAGTAATAATCGTAGGATTTTTTTTTAATTTAAGATAAATCTCTATGATGCTCATAAAACTTTCACTCCCGTGGCGCTGACCCGGCGGTGGCATACCCATTAAATTTTAGTCTTATGTAACTTTATATTTTCGAATTTCAGCTCAGAGGTTTACGCAAAGAGGTCAAAAAATAAAGACACAGTTGAGTTTGCGTGAGTTTTGATACGAATGTGTTTGTTTAGTAGCCAATTACAGGCACCAATTGAAAAATCTAGAAGTATCGAGCCTTTCATTTGAAACTGAATAATCTGCCTTAAAAAAAAAAAAGAAAAAAAATTTTTTTTTCCATATTTTTTTTTTTCAACGTCACCCACCACTACCGCAAGACAGGTCAAATAGGAGTGAAGGGCAAACAGGGGAAAGCTTGGGATACCTGTGCAAGCTTTGTTTCCAGGTCTTGTCGAGTGAAACGCCTGGAAGAAACTTGTCTTTGGTTAAAGTTCATTCGAACAATATGGCGGAATCGGTGGCGGAGGTGGCGCGTGTGTTGGAAACGTATAGAGGCAGAGAGAAACTAATGCGACTCCTTCAGTATGCCAGCTATTTGGCGAGTGGAGGGTTGCAGAAGTTGTCTTACGAGTCTAGTGCAGGAAAATTTCGGATCTGGGCGGAAGCAATTAGTGAATGTCGGACTTTCCTTCGTTTGTTTGATGACGCTGCAATGTTGTCCTACGCACGCGATTATGGAACTGGAAAAGAGGTGGGAAATAACAGTACAACATGACACCAAAAAAAAAATGGCTTAAAAAAAGAAGAAGGAAGTACATTTTTCACTATAGAAATTTCTTCAACTTAAACAACCCAATAACCTTAATATTCCGCTTCGGGGAATCATTATCATAGCTTCTAGAATTTTTTAGTGTAGCGTCTAGGGTCGGGAAGATTTGTTCTGATGGGTGGCTCATTACTCATTACTTCATACATATGTTAAGATTTGTTGCGGAAGCAATCATATGATGTGTCGTTATCCATGTACAAGTGTAGAGCCTTGAATTAATTTAAAATTTATGCTTTGTGTTTTGGACTTTGTAAAGGCCCTCAACCTTTAAACTCCTAAGATCTGATTGTTAATTCTCCTCTCCAGCTGCTACAGATTTCCTTGAAAATAATTTATAACAATTTGGTGTTAGATCATGGTAACCATCAATCAATCAATCAATCAATCAATCGATCAATCAATAAACTTTATTTACCCTTGAATTTACAGTGTAGCGCTCAGGTGCTAATGTCTTTGAGCAAACTACATTAATAAATAATTATAATAAAAAGATTAATTCTATAACAAATAGGATAACTAACTACCTAGACAACTAACTAGCAAATCATCTTGATGTAGAAAGGTTTGCAGTTCCTGCCCTTTTAAGTAAATTATTGTACCCAGTAGATAACAGTCGTCGAAAAGAAGTAAAATCAGATATAGTGCAGTGATGGTCAGGAAGAGAATTCCAAGATATTGCTGCCAAGTAACGAAAGGAATTGATACCATAAGAAGAGGTCAATGGTTTAGGCAAACAGAGTATATTATGTCCTCTTAAAAAATAGGTGCTAGAGCACAAGCAAAACATATCTTTTTAATATCTTGGATAATCAGAAAATGTAGACATTTAAAAATAGTAAGAATCATGTTTTGTAAACGCTTGTCCTTAAGGTTTACAGTTCCTACCCTTTTAATTAAATTATTGTATTCAAAGTTAAAATCCTTGAAAACAAATTGAAGAATACGTTTGTTTAAAAGATCCAATTTAACAGAATCTTGTTTACTAGAGAAATGCAACACCATAGAACAATAATAAAAGTGAGGAAGTATTAATGCCTTATAAAGACGTAACATGGTTTCAGTAGACATCAGTTTGCTGAACCTTGTCATAACGCTAAACTGATTGTTTACCTTTTTACATATAGAGGACACATGTTGCTTAAACTTAAGATCTTTATCAATTGTAACGCCAAAAAGTTCCACTGAGTCATTTACTGAGAAATTAAACTTCTTTCTGATAATTACAACAATATAACAACTTCTTTCTGATAAGTTTGTTTATTCTTATGACCTGTCTGCTGGATAATGCACTGTGTATGTGTATTATAGGGAGAAGTTACGCATAAACCACTTCTGGAAGTTAAAGGATTAAAGTGATAAATGCATTTATTTTTCTAAAATAGTTAATTCACAACCTTGACTTGGACTGTACAGTTTACAAAAAGGAACCTGAGGTCAGCAAAGACTGGAAGTGCACATTTGCCCACCAAATGTTTTCCTCATTCAAAGACCAGAATATGAGTCTACAAGTTTCAAAACAAAGTCTCGATCATCTCTTATTATAAAATAATTCAAATAGTATGTGCGCTCTGATTGGCCATAAAAACCATTTTACATGAGCATATGTAAACATGGTTTTCGTTCCTCTTTCATTAGTTATTTTATAAAAGAAATGTAAAATGGTTTCTGTATTTACATAGCCCGATGAAAACACGCAGGAGGTTGGGAGAACACGAGATAAGCGTAGGAAACCACGACGTGAAGCAGAGTGGTTTCCAGCTTATCTTGTGTTCTCCCAACCTCCTGCGTGTTTTCATCAGGCTATGTAAACACGGAAACCATTTTACATTTCTTCATTGAACAACATTGAGAATGTTAATTTAGGAAGTTATGTAAGGGTTGCAGGTCAGGCAATTTATGTGGAATTTTTATTCATTTCCCCCCAAAAATGAATCAGTTGACAAATGGGATATGAAAGAAAATGATGAGTTCTGCTTCGCGGTATTTCCTTGGGTAGTGATCTCTGTCTGTCTTAGGATTGTCTAAGGAATTATTATGGTTGCTATGCATTTATTGCTAATCTTAAGCAATGTCTCTACTTTATTTGAAGATTGGTGTTTTTCTTTCTGCCAGGAAAGGGACAAAGTTGTGCGCTGGACAAATCTTGTGGACATATTCTGTGGTTTGACATTTTACCCTTTGGAGCATGTTGCCTGGGCAAGGGACAAGAAACTGCTGGCTGGTAAATCTGAGAAACTATGGGACTTGTCTCTATACACTTGGATAGGATCACTTATAGCATGTATTATAAGAGACTTGTGGCTTCTCAGAAAGCTTCAGCACCTGCAAAAGAGCAGGTCAGTATCCAGTTTGGTCATGGCCTTAAAGAAATGTGTACTGTTAACTAATATAAATTGTAAAATCAGAAAATTTCTGTGATGAATTAATTGTTTCTAGTTGATCTGAATACATGTAAAGAGCACTCCAATTTCACTTAAGCATTTTTTATTGCTAACTGCAATGAACTTTAACCCTTTAACTCTTAAGATATGATTGTCAATTCTCCCCTGTAGCTGCTACACATTTCCTTGTAAATTAGTTATGAGAACTTGGTGCTAGATCAAGATAGCAGATTCTACCTGATAAGTTTGAATATTCTCATTACCTGATTACTAAAGAATGTATGGATATTTTAGGGAGAAGTAGTATGTTAATCACTTCTGGGAGTTAAAGGGTTAAACACATACATCTTTCATGTAGGGAAAAATATTATATTGTAGTACATTTTTCATATTTTTCTACTCAGGACACAGCTTGTCAGTGACAGCAGTGGAGATACACAAACATCATCATCATCCAGGCAAAATCAGATAAAATATCTACAAAGAAGACTTATCATCTCAGTGATAGGATTCACTTCTGATTTAGGAATGGCCATCCATTGGGCTCCAGCTGGTTTCCTATGGGCTGGCAAACTGTCGATTGGAACTGTTGGCCTTCTTGGGACAGTATCGTCATTTGCCGAACTGTATAAGTACTTTAAACCAGCTGCTGCATTACCTGATGAGGCTCTTGGAAGCATTTGATGTTACAGAACTGATTTTTGTTTTCTTGTCACCAACATACATGTAGTTTATCGATGGAAATAGCACTCAATGTACTGTGTATTTAAATACTTCATGCATTTTTACGTCAAAAGAAAGCATAATTATAAATCAAGTATAGCTTGTCATTTCAGAACCAAAATTGAATACTAAACATTGAATCAGTTGTAAATTATTGCTCCCAATTCTCTGTCCTTCTCTCACCATGCTATTTAGTAATCAGCAGGGGGAATAAGTCAAAGGAATGGAAAAAATATGGAGACATTCTTGTATAATGTTCTTTAAATTAATTTTAAAAAGCTCTAGAAGCAAAGAAATACAAGAAATAAAAATCACATCACATTTCAGGATCTTGTCAGATTTTTTTCCTTTATTTGCTGAGTGAGGTAGACATATTTTTGTTAATTAGTGAGAATCACTTGCAAGGCCCTGGGAAACAATGCCCATTCAGTTCTCTTAACCTCCTACACCTGAATATGAGCAGCTATATTCTCCATACTATTCTCTACACATTTTTGAAGGTGTTGAGGAGGAGAGTTTGTCCAACAATCAAGAGATTCCTCAGTTGGTGGTGATTTCTTTATTCTTGTGACCTTACTTTGTGATTAAAGGGTGATAATGTAAGGAAAGATTAGATGTTAGTCACTCTTCTGGGTCAAAGGGTTTTAAAAACTTGAAACAACTTTCCAGCCTGTTATTATGCATCACACCAGAAAATTTAGCTCTGTTATCATCCTGGTCAGGGCATATACTAGACTAAGCAATTGCATATCTGGAGGAGTATTAGAAAAATCATACTGCTGGACACCTCTTTTCTCTCTTGACACAGAACAAGAGTGTAAGGTGAGGGGAAATTGGGACAAATCAGGGTGTGCCATGTCCCTTGGTCTTAATCCAGCCCCTTACTATTAATTTTTCAATTATACCTCAACCTTCCCCTCACACCAGTGGGACAGAAAATGAACAGGCATTCAGTAAAAGTTCACATATAAACTAGTTTTCACAGGTCATGAATTTTATAACACCAGTAGTTCTATTAATAGCTGGTTGCTAGGTTCTACTGTCACTATTAAGACCTCTCA